GACTGCAATAGAGCAGTGATAGGAACACAATAAAAGGGCAATAAGAAGGCAATACGTAAACCTGGAAGTCCAACTTCAGCTCTATAATTGTCAAGACAAAGGTGAAAAAAGAGTTAAAACAACAATAGAGGTACAATAGGAAAGCAATATAAGGGCAATAAGAAGGCAATACTTAAACTTGATAGTCTTTCAACTCTATAATTGCAAAGACAGAGGTGAAAAATAATGTGCTAAGACAACAATAAAGGAGCAATATGAACACAATAAAGGGCAATAAGAAGGCAATACGTAAACCTGGAAGTCCAACTTCAGCTCTATAATTGTCAAGACAGAGGTGAAAAAAGAGTTAAGACAACAATAGAGGTATGATAGGAAAGCAATATAAGGGCAATAAGAAGGCAATACTTAAACATGATATTGCAAAGACAGAGGTGAAAAACAATGTGCTAAGACGACAATAGATGAGCAATAGGAACACAATAAAAGGGCAATAAGAAGGCAATACGTAAACCTAAGTCCAATTTTAACTCTATAATTTCAAAGAGAGAGGTGAAAAACAAGGTGCTAAGAAGGCAATACATAAACCTCTTAGTCCAACTTTATCTTTATAATTGTCAGGACAGAGGTGAAAAAAGAGTTAAAACAACAATAGAGGCATAATAAGAAAGCGCAATACATAAACTTGAGTTTACATTGCGAGGCTACTTATTAGCTAAACATATACAGATGCAGTTTCTCTATCCACTCTAGTTTCATGGTTACTAATTCATGAAACCACAACTAATAAATAAGGAATAGCTGATCACATCAAAGCACAACTAATATCCAATTCCACTCCTATTACAACAATGTTTATGTGGTGAAACAAAACTGGTGGCGCATCTTCATTTCTCAAGCCATCTTCTAACCGTGTAGAAACTAGTAGCTTCTGTCCAATCTCGAACCTCCAAGTGATGAGCTGTGTTATGAAGGTGATATTCTCTCGTATGTGTAGTTCCCCACTCCCCGTTTTTGCAACATTCCCAATTGCTTTTTATTCACCAAATTATGACAACAAAACTAAAGATTGAGAAAAGTGCAAGTATAAACATTAAGTTAAAGTATGTGACTCTGTCACATTTGTAATTGGAATCATTTAGTTTCTAACATTTGTTATTGTATGACCAAAGCTTCCTACATAAATTACAGTTCTTCTCACAAGACATTCATGCCTTATTACATACAAAATTCCTAGACTAATTGGCAAGGAGCTTCCTAACCTAGAACACCAACAAGAGAAAATCGCAAAAAGTGGAACGCATAAGGCACAAAGAAATTGTCAAACAAAATAAGAGGCACAAAACCAGACATCGAAACACCTCAAAGAGTGAACTTAATCAATATAACCAGACAACATCCATAACAGCAATACAAAACTAGATACAGCTACAACATCCATAACAGTAAAACACAGAACAATAATGGGGTAATGTGGAATTGTTTGACTCAAGAAGCTCCACATGTAATTTATAAGCTTCCTAAAGAAGGCAATAGTGAACAGAACAACCAACATTTTTTGAAGCAGTACATATCAGGGGAGGTTTACTTAATGCTCTTGCAATACTTCAAATTTTGGTCAAGGATCTCATGAAGATACCTATTTTCAGCTTTCCTATGTTCTGATAAATAATAAAATCAATCACAACAACACCTATTTGCATCCATATCAGGTTTTGCTAAGGCAAATGCAACAATTTCGAATTCAAAATTCATACACTTCATATAAAGAATTTCAGCAGAAAACATATTCGGAAGCATATTAAGAATCACTATATCAATACTCAACAGAAACTCACATGATACGAACTGAAAAATACAAAAGACTATCATACCTCAACCATTAGAGAAAACCACAATTTCACATCTCAAAACACTAGCATACCTCAACCATTAGCAACACTAAACAAACCTCACCAAAAACTCCAACAGCTCGTTAGCCAAAAAGAGAAAATTAACTCCCTTTTGCAAAGCCCAAAACACTATTAACGAAAATCATATTTTGTCAAACACTCAAAATCCTATATAAGCACCACTCAAATTCCCATATAGAAACACCACAATTAAGCAATTAAAGCATAACACTCCATACGCATGTATACATATATAAACATATATATAGAGAGTCAAACACTCAAAATCCTATATCAGCACCACTCAAATTCCCATATAGAAACACCACAATTAAGCAATTAAAGCATAACACTCCATACGCATGTATACATATATAAACATATATATATATATAGAGAGAGAGAGAGAGAGAAAGAAAGAGAGAGAAAGAGAGAGAAAAGGAGAGGGAGAGGGAGAGGGAGAAGGAGAGGACTGTAGCGAAAAATGGAGCTCATGAATGCCCCACCAGCGGAGTCTCCGCCAAACTTGAGAAGGCAAACAGCAGGGCCATTGGAGGAGGCGGGGAGGGTTTGAAGAAGTAGGGTTAGGGTTAAGGTTTGGATTGGTAATGAGCTTAATGTCAGTGTCCGGGTCAGACTTTGGAGAATTCACTGACGTCGTCGCCATGGCCGTTACTCTCTATTTTCTATGAAGTCATGGCTGAGCAAGATTTGGGAGAGTGCGAGAGAGGAGAGGAGTTGGGAGAAATTGGGTTTCAGAAAATGAATTTTTGAGGGGATAAAGGGTCAATACAAATGTATTTATATGGAGGGCAATTGGGTACTTTCATGTTACAAGGCGAGTATTTCTGAATGAAATTAATAAAGTGAATATATTTGATTATGGTTTATCTTTTGTGATTATCCAAGTCAATTTCCCGTCAATTTGCTGTGCTAATTTTTTTTTTCATACAAAACCAAATGGTTGACGTTAGGGCAAGGTGGCGGGTTCTCCAATGGACCAAGAGGCAAAACCCGCCAAAGTATAAAACCCCATTTAGAAATATAAATAGAATTAGATTAGATTAGAATTATACATGTGAAAAACGATTGGGCTTGATTTGCCAACTAAATGGGCTTGAGCATTAGCATTGGAATTGATATGAAGAATTAATCTTTTGAACTAACTAATTTCACATTAATGTAGTGTTGAAGAAAAATGTGAAATTTTCAATATAATTTCACCACCATTATTTAAATAATGGAATTTTATTATTTTAGGTTCGACCTATTTGAGGTGCGATGTCTCTTAATTACAATTCCTTGTTTTAAGGGAACACCCTTTGATTCTGTCATAAAGAAACAAAACGTGTGTATTTGATTTTGCAGCTTCTCCCAAGTCGAACCTCTGGGTGCCTACATATCCTTTGTGAGATTTAAGCCACTCGTAATTCAAAGAATTGCAATGAATAAATGACTCGTTGCAAAAAGGAGGATTTTGAATAAATTGATTGAAAAAGTGTTTGAGTGAATTTAGCTTAATAAACGAGAGATTCGATATGAAATTGTGTTTGGAGCGAATTTAGTTAAGAATAAACCAGGGATTCTATTTGGATTTAAGATTTGGGCAGTTGCATCTAGATTGAGTCTCTAGATTGCTTACGTACCATTTCGAAGGGATCAAACCAATGTAGTTCGAAAATTTGGAAATTAATGAGTAAGTGTGTCCCACTAATTTAGAACTTGTGTCCCACTAATTTAGAATTTGTGTCTTTGAGACAATTTGGAGATTTTAAGATTTTCATAGGTAAATGACCCATGAGAAAAGTTTGGATGGTTTTGTACCATTTTCTTATTGTCAATGTCGAAGAAAAAAATAATGAGTAATTTTTATGAACCCACTAATTTTCTACAATTAACATTTGCATTTGGACCCAAATATGATTTTCAAGATTTTAAAATTGAACAATTTGAGCCTCTATAAATTTTTGAGTGTTAATTTGGATCACCCATTAAATATTTTGGGTTCTTGAGAATTAATGGGCAAACAACCCATTAATCTGTTTACAAGCCCTTGATATCTTGATTGACCCATGAACAAAAACTGGCGAAACAACACCAGTGTGAAGCTCATCCTTTTAGCTGAAGGAGTCATTATCAAATTAGGATTTCAAGAGTGGAGTTGTGAAGGAATTATAGTCTTGACAGACTTGGAGAACAATTGCACCACCACCCAAACTTCTCATTATTTAGAGGGACCTATTCTCAGAGAGAAAAATAAATTGATAAGTGTGCTCAGAGAGAAAAAGAAATTGATACAACTTTCTCGTTTTTTCTGCACATTTTGGAATTAACTCCCAAAACATCTTTTTTTTTCTTCCATGGATTTCCTTTTGCTTGGCAGAGCTTTATTGAACGGGAATCATCTTATGGATTTGCTATCCATATATGTAATTTAAGGGTTGTCAACCAACATGAATTTATCATCCAAGAATTTGATTTAATGGTTGTCACCCAACATGGATTTATCATCCAATAAATTGATTCAAGGGTTGCCCCCAACTTGGATTTGGGTTGCCACCACACAGAAATTAATTGAGATGACAATATACCTATGACAATTTCTTTTGTCTCTGTGCTCTAGCAATTTTTCCAGCAGCAGCTCCCTTTTTTCTTCTCTCTCCTTTTCCTTTATAGCCTTGCTTTTTGTAGGCTACATATGAGAAATTTCTTTAGTGCAGGATGCTTCATTCAAATATTGAATAATCAGCTCCACAAATACAGGAACCACCAACCTCTCTTGAGAGTTTTCATTGGTTGGTCAAATTCCCATTTTTTTAGAACTCCTCTTATTACCCAGCTTCAAGGAGATGAGGAGATTTTCACGTGGGATCAACCCACTTTTGAATTGTTTTATCTCTTGCTTTTAAAATTTGAAAAGCTTGTTGGATAATTGGATTTACTTTTTTTTTTATGAAACACTTATCATCTGTATTAGACAATGCTTGCTGGACGTGGGCTTAGGCAACCCCAAGCCCTTCTTTCTTTTTTTGTGAATTTTTTTATTTCAACATAAAGTAAGCATGAAACTGTCATTCATCTCCTGATAAAAGAAGTAGATCACAAGCCAGAGTATAATAGATTAATAATGAATCCTAATTTCAGCGTATTGTTTGAGTTTGCCATGTTTTTACAAAGATATCAAAAAAGCCAACCAGCAAGGGGAGCCAAACCCAACCAAACAAACAGGACAGACACACCATACCAAAGAACTATAAACAAGAACAGGAAGCAAAAACACCAAAAGAACTAGAGAGGATGGGGGTCGCACAAGCCACGACTCCAAGCACATCCCCTTTCTGGCAAGCGAGGCAACGGCATCCGCAGACCGGTTTGCCATATGCTTGCGTTATTATGATTGGAAAACTATACAAATTTTACTTCCAATCCCTCTTCTTGAACTCAACAAAGTCTATCACACATTTGTTGCTAAACTACCATTATGTCTTCCAATAACCGATTGAGCAGAGGAGCGGCAACATGCTCGGTCTTTTCTCTGCAACCTAACGGTTGCCGCATCTGTTCAAGATCCGCACAACCTCCATCATTGAAGGCCTATCACAAGGAAGTCTTTGGGTGCAACGGATGGCAAGTGTGAAAACAAAGCACATTTCATCCAACCAACAAGGTTCTCTGATGTCCTCGTCCAGAGCATCGGCAAGAGGGTTGCGTTTTTCAAAATGGCGCCATGCCCATTCAACAAGATTAGTGTGTTCGTCCTTAGCTTCCCTACCTGTGGTCAACTCCAGAAGGATGACACCAAAACTGTATACATCGATCTTCTCATTCATTCGTCTTGTATAGCCAAATTCTGCATTCAAGTCATAAAAACCATATACTGAGATTGCTAATAGAAACAAAGGAAAAATAAACCACATTTCTTCAGGAACTAACTCCAACATTTGTGGGGTGTAAGGTTTACCTGGAGCAAAGTAGCCGGGGGTGCCAGCAACGGCCGACATTGTAGCGAGTTCTCCTTCCTTGACCAGCATCTTGGCTAGACCAAAATCTGCTATTTTTGCATTAAAATCAGAGTCCAACAAAATGTTACTCGATTTCATGTCTCGATGCACAACAGGTGGCACACAGTAGTGATGCATGTAGCAGAGGCCCCGAGCAGCTCCCACTGCAATCTGCAACCTCTTAGGCCAGTCCAGCACAACATGGTGGTCTGAACTCGTGAGATTGGATGGCCAATTTCTCTTGTGAAGCCATTGATCCAGGCTTCGATTCTCCAAGTACTCATAGACAAGAAGTTTTGAATTGTCCTTGGATATACAGCACATCAGCTTCACTATGTTGGCATGTCGAATGGAACTCAATATCTTCACTTCTGCAAGAAATTCTTTTTCAAGCTTCTCTTCTAAGTTCGTATCATTCGAAATCTTTTTCACGGCAACAACATCGCCTGTACGATTCACAGGAACACGATAAACTTTTCCTGATCCTCCACTTCCAACCAGATTATTTTCTGTAACCCCTGAGATAATTTTTGACTCTGTGAAATTCAGCCTCTGAAATCGGGTGAGCTTCCAATTAGAATCTGATCTATTTCTCTTCCAATAAGCTCTGACCATGAAGAATGATAATGACAAAGCCAACAAGGACAAAAGTATGCCGAAAGTTAAGATCAATGCAAGATATTTAGACGAAATTTTGCCAGACTTTCGGTTGCATATCTTGAGTTTTGCTGATGGGCTAGTTGCACAGAGACCTTGATTGTCCAAGAAGCTTCTGTCATAAGCAGCATTTTGAAATTCAATTGGAATCTTCCCAGATAGGTGATTGGACGAGAGATTGAGATTGTTGAGCTTCAGACGCCCAAGTTGAGCTGGAATTTGGCCAGAAAGTTGGTTTTCTGAAAGGTCTAGCGCAGCAAGGCCTGGTAGAAGACCAAGTTTCGCTGGAATTGGTCCATACAGTTGATTTCGACTGAAATTAAGGGTATAGAGTGTTTTCCATGATATAATATCTGTTGGAAGGAAGCCGGTAAGCTTATTCTGATCAAGATAAAGAGTAATTAAGCTAGGAAGAGAGGTTAGTTCCTGAGGAACAGTGCCATTAAAGAAGTTATTACCGGCGTCAAAAACCTGCAAATTCGTCCAGGAAGACACCCCGGCTGGAATGTTACCTGAAAATCTGTTATCTCTGATTTCCAGCCGCGAAAGATTCCAAGACATCTTCTCAGGAAGCTCGCCGGTAAAAGAATTGTTGCTCATCAGCACAGAACTCAAGTTTGGTGCTGTCCACATGCCACTAGGAATGTTTCCAGACAACCCATTATCATAAACCTTCACGGTGGACAAACTACTGCAATTTCCTAGAGAGGTTGGTAACTCCCCAGTGAGATTGTTCTCATAAGCTTCAAGTCCTAGCAGCTTACCCCAATAGCACAGATTGTCTGGGAGTTTGCCAGTGAGCCTATTGACCGAAACTTCGAAACTTTCAAGCTCTGAATACCTCCCAAAGTCTGGATGCAATGTTCCTGACAAATTATTGTTGGACAATTTGAAATTTATGAGATTCGGGAGACGGCCAATGTTTGTTGGAATCTCACCTGAGAAATCGTTATAAGACAAAGCTAACACTGTTAGCTTGGTAAGCTTTCCATAATCTTCTGGTATTGGCCCTGTCAAATAGTTTCCAGAAAGATCAATAGCACTCAAGTTCAATGCTTCAACCATTTGAGGTACATCCCCAGACAGTATGTTCTGGAAGAGATGGATTATACTTAAATTCTCCAAGAGAAACAAACCACTTGGGATTGTCCCACTCAAACTATTGATTGCCAAATCCAATTCTTCCAGTGCTTCCATTTCCCCAATTGTTCCAGGGAGTTCTCCAACCAAATACGATTGGCGTATACATAGAGTCTTCAACTTTTTCAACCTGGTGAAATTGGAAAGCAGGTTCCATGGCACAAGTTTTACATTGTAAGAGAGATTTAGGTCTTCAAGATTGGACAAATTACCTATCTCTGGCGGAACGGAACCATTAAACTCGTTCATGCACAGCTGCAGGTTCCTGAGCTCTTGTAACCGGCCAATAGCCACAGGTATGTCACCAGAAAAGTTGTTACGGGCAAGGTTAAGGTATCGAAGCCGACGCAGGCTGTCGATATCATCAGGAATCTTGCCAACAAAGTAGTTTTGAGAGAGGTCCAAGTACTGTAGCTTTGAACAGTTGTAGAAAGCTTTTGGGAACTCTCCAGGAAAGTAGTTGTAGCTGAGATCAATGAGTGTGAGGTTCTTGAGATCACAAATGAAAGGTGGAACTGGGAGGGTGATGTTCGTGTTGACCAGAGACAATCCGGTGACAGAGTTGTTTGTGCAGGTGATCTCAGGCCGCCAGGAACAGTGGGAAGTGTTTGATGTTGATGGAATCCAATGGCTGAGGAACGGTGGAGATTGCAAGTATGACTTTAGTTTTAGCAGGACAGCTTGTTCTCGGTCTTGCAATGACTGAGAGTTGGCATGGCTGATGAGGAGGAGGAGGAGGAAGAGAAGGAAGCAGAGATGGGTTTGGAGAGAAGATGTTGGCCTGAGTTTAGTCATTTTGTGATGGAGGTTCAGAAGTTGGTCTGTCCCCGCGGTTTTAAACTCTGGTGAAGAGAAGACGTGTGGTTTAGTTTGGTAATGGGGAAGGACAGGTTGAATTTTGGTTTTGAGGGCAGTGGATTTCTTTTGAGTAGCTTTTTAAGATATCAATCGGACAAAGTCAAACAAATTGCAACGGCTGTTTTTTAAGAGAGAGGTAAAATACAAGTGAAATTATTATCTTTATCCTATTATTCTATCTAATGCCGGTGTTATTATTATATTGTATATCAGACGTTTGACACAGTCCAGTTATTTAGACATGAATCGTATCAGATTTCAACTTGAGAGTGTTAGGCTTAACTTTTTGACGAAGTTTTCCACAGAAGGAGGCGAATTGGTAGAACGTCTAATTGGAGACCATAAATATCTCCATATATATTGGATAGTTTTTATTAAAATACACTATCTAGAGAGTTGACAGATAGAAATATACGGGATAAATGAATTTTGCATATCCATAAAAATAAAAAAGCAAGAGAAGAAACAACAGAGATAAAGAATTGAAGAATGATTATTCTTTTCTGGTTTGAGAAGAATATACTTCAGAAAAGCTGTTTTTCTAACAGGATCAGTAAATAATGGTGACCAATGTGTTCGGTAGCCATATCTGATGAGATTCAGTAACAAAGAAAATGAAGGTTGGCATTTATAGATTCCGCATTTACAACAAAAGAAAATGAAGATTGGCACTCTCACTTTTCTATGTTCCAGAAGATGCACAAAACTTCAATGCATGTGGACTGTTAAGTTAACTAAGGAGCAAAGAAAAGAGAAGATTCCTCACACACCTATCTAATTACGATATTATGAGGGTTCAAACCGAGACGCCTGAGTTGCAATGGAAAAAAGAGATGAAAGGGAGAAGAGAAGGATAATTGCCACGACCAAGTTGATCAGTTCATACTAGCAGCTTCTTTTTTTTGGGTGCAATCGTACGCGTCTTTTTCCGTCTTTAGAGTTTTTTTTTCTTTGCTTCCTTTATCTTTTCCCTTGCAAAGCAGGTACAGTTACCAGACACAGCCACATTTGACCAAAGAAACCGCTAAGGATTCTAATATATTTAGTCCTCATCCACTTAAAATACAGCGATTTGAAAACATTAAAAAGGAAAATAAAGAAAGAAAGGATACGAACAACTGGCTGAGAATTAATTGCCAATCCTCGACTGATTTCATTTAATTTCAACGGAAGATGAAGAACAAGAAGATGATCCTATTATTATCACACACAACACAATGGTGATGAATAATCGACCAGTCAAAACAGGCTGACAGGCACTGACCCTTTTGATGGAGAAAAACTTCCCTGCACATGATGTCAGGCTCAGCAATTCACAAAAACACTAAAAACTTGTCTGGTAAGATAATTTGAGAATAATAATATGTGAGTTATTTTTCATGTATATTTTTGCTAATTTTTGTTCTCAAAAAATATTTTCAATAAAGGCTAAAATTATTATAAACAATGAGAAATTTATAATTTGAGAATAATAATGTATGATTAAAAAATTCTAATGTTAGAAAAACCTAGATAATAAAATTATATTATCTTTAATTTAAAGTAAATATGAAATTGAATAATATATGATGATTTTATCATAAAATTAATATACACTGGTGTAACAAAATAAAATAATGAAATGCAAGTATGACTTTAGTTTTAGCAGAACAGCTTGTTCTTGATCTTGCAATGACTGAGAGTTGGCATGGCTGATGAGGAGGAAGGGGAGGAAGAGAAGGAAGCAGAGATGGGTGTGGAGAGAAGATGCTGGGGTTGGTTTAGTCATTTGGTGGTGGAGGTTCAGAAGTTGGTTTGTTCCCGCGGCATGAACTCTGGTTTTGAGGACAAGACAAGTAAGTTTTCCAGTTCCAGAAGATGCACAAAATTTCAATTCATGTGGGCTTTGAACTTTGGAGAAAAGTTGAGTGATGATATCAATGGGTTTTGGTGGAAATAGATTTGTATTCTGTCAAATATATGGACTGCATTATTTCTAGAAGCTGATAGTGAAAAGCAGTATGCATGCAGATGCAGTGGCCAACAACCAAGATGCTGGAAAAAAGAATGCAAGTCTTTGTTGACCAATCTTGGCCTCTCTTCTACACTACCCCTCAAACTTTGTGCGTCACTTGTGAACTTTTGAGTCAAAAACAAAAACCAAGCGTCAAGGACAAGGACCTTGCTGATAACACGTTCGCACGTCAAAAGAAATTTCTTTAGATATTAATTAATTATCAATCAATTATATAATCACGTTCGCACGACAAAAGAAATAAGAAAAATTATTTTCATATTGTATGAAGTTTGTTGGTAATTCTTCGATGGACCCCCGTCATCTCTATTAATCATAATCTTTTGTCTTGAACATATTAGATTAAGACCTTTTGTATAGTTTAGTCCATGCCTATTCAGCATCTTGGCTAGACCAAAATCAGAGTCCAACGAAATGTTACTCAATCGATTTCACGTCTCGATGCACAACTGGTGGCACACAGTAGTGATGCATGTAGCAGAGGCCCCGACCTGCACCCACGGCAATGTGCAACCTCTTAGGCCAGTCCAGCACACGAGGTTGGACTGACCTCGAGAGATTGGATGGCCTGTTTCTCTTGTGCAGCCATCCATCCAGGCTTCGATTGTCCGAGTACTCATAGACAAGAAGTTTTGAATTGTCCTTGGATATACAGCACATCAGCTTCACTATGTTGGCATGTCGAATGGAACTCAATATCTTCACTTCTGCAAGAAATTATTTTTCGAGCTTCTCTTCTAAGTTCTTATCTTTCCAAATCTTTTTCAGGGAAATAACATCGCCTGTAGGATTGACAGGAACACGATAAACTTTTCTTGATCTGCCACTTCCAATCATATTACTTTCTGTCAATCCTGAGAGAATTTTTGCCACTGAAATTCAACCTCTGAAATGAGGGGAGCTCCCAATCAGAATCTGATCCGTTTCTCTTCCAATAACCTCTTGACCAAAAGAATGATAAGTGGGTGACCATGTTCATGTCAAAAACAAAAGCCTTGTGAAGGAAACATATGTCAAACTGCAACCTCACACCAAGGACTTTCTTGACATCTAAAACCCTAAAGCCGTTTTGGAGCTACTCTTGTTTAACCTCTGGTGACACTATCATGGTTCCTTATAACAGAAGTATTACATCAACATAATTGAAACAAAGCCCTCCTCTGCAATCAGTATAGTTGATACCGACTGAAAGAAGCCAGCACCATCCACTCGGCCAAAGAAGAGACCACAAGAAGCTGAAGAAGATGAAGAGCCACCTCAAAAGATAGCAAAGTTCAGTCCCTTTACTGGTTCAGCGAGACAATTGGATGGAAAACTGGTCTTGACACAATCCATTGCGCCTACAGTTTCCTCTCCTCCTGTACTCAAGAAGCACCAAATGGAGAGTGGAAATGGAACCAATAAGGGTTCTGAGTCATCAGCTTCTGCTTCATTTCAACATTCTGGAAAGCTTGTGTTTGGTTCAAATGTCAACCGGCCCGTGAATGAAACCCCAAAAGTTTCCCCAAACAACGGCAGTAGGCAGGAGCCCTCTGACAAGGAAGAAGAGCCAGAGTTGCAAGCATTCACAGGGAAGAATTATACCCTGAAATGGTGAAGTTAAGGCATATCGATCCTTCGTCTAAAACATACGAGAATGGCTATGGTTGAAAGCCTGGATAACAACTAACACCTAGGGAGGGAGAATTTGTTTGCTTCAGTATTTCCTTGTTCTGATTACCATCAAGCAATTGCCATCTTTTCTGGTCTCCGATTCTTCCTTTTTATTCATACATAAGTGGCATTTTTTGGCTTTTGAAATAACTGAATGTACGTATTAATTATCTTTCAGTGTAATTCTCAGTCTAGTCTGAAGAAAACTATACTCTTGTGCTAATAAAGTTAAGCCCCTCACTCATTCGGTTTTTAGGGCAAAAGCAGGACTGTACAACGTTTTTCTATTTATGACTTGCTTTGAGGACATGTTAATCACTAGAATCCCACTAGAAGAGCACTTTTCTTTACCAATTTCAAGTTCTACTTGCGCGTTGCAAAAAAGTTCTGCAAAAACAAACCAACAAATAGTTTTCATTTTGAAGGTTAATCCCTTGATTCCAATCCTTGCATTTCACCATTGATGAACAACTATTTTCAATTAGATTTTAGTCAGTTCAGTAAATAAACACAGCCATAATCCAAAATGAGTACTGAAAAGAAGAATGATGATAAACCCACCATACCCAAAAAGAAAGAAAAAACAAATTTCTTCCACAAAAGAGAGCAATTCTAAAACAAACAAAAACAACCAAACCCGTAACCAAGAGAAGAAAACGAATCATGCAGAAAGTGACAAACTCAGCCAACACAGTTTAGTTTCTTAATTATCCATTTCTCAACATGTATGATCCATTTCTCAACATGTATGATCCATGTCATATCTAGGTCCTGTATAGTCTATGGTAATTCAGCTAAGTGCTAAACATCTACATATTTGGCCCTTGCCTCTTTTTTCAATGATCAGACTAGCTAATAGTTGAAGCAACGGAGTCCATTAGTGACTAACAGAGAAAGGGAGGAGGGAAGGAGTCATTTAGAACATAATGAGAACATCTAAAAGCCAGTTTAGAAGATAAAAATGGGAATGCAACATTTTTCCTTCAGAAATCAATAGCTGGGCTACTTTCATATTGCTGGAGTTGATACTTTATGAACCAAACATATTAACATCTATCAGTAAAACCCACAAATTTTGACACAATATAAGAATTGGTGAAGATTCAATCCCATACCAACTCACATTGATTGCCTTTGCCTCCATAAAATTGATACAACTATGCTCGCAGAGAGTTTTTATTTTGCAGGGGCAGATTCAAGTGAAACATTATTAAGGCGCTCCAGAGCCACAATAAGCGCCTGGGTACCCAAATTGCCTTCCCCATGAGCC